TCCCTGATTGCTTCCTGATTGTGACTGACTGGTTGGTTGTTTGGTTGATTGATTGATTGGCTGGTTGGTTGGTTGTTGATTGACTGACTAATTGGTTGATTGACTGATAGATTGACTGATAGATTGACTGATTGATTGACTGATTGGTTGATTGATTGATGGGTTGATTGATTGATTGATTGATTGATTGATTGATTGATTGATTGATTGATTGGTTGATTGATTGATTGATTGATTGACTGTTTGACTGACTGATTGCTTGGTTGATTGGCTGATTGAGTGATTGATTGATCGATTGATTGATTTGATTGAGTAATTGACTGATTGATTGGTTGATTGGTTGGTTGATTGATTGATTGATTGATTGATTGGTTGATTTTCTTTGTGGTCTTTGGCTGGGTTGTGTTCATTTGTTTGGCTTTGTTTTTGTTTCGCTGTCTGTTTGTCTGTTCGTTCTGTGCTGCTTGGTCGGTTGTATTTGGTTTCTTTGCCGCTGTTTTCTGCTTCTGTCTGCTTGTGTGCTCGTGTGTGTGGGGTTGTGTTTGCTGCCTGTGCCCTGCATGCTTTGGCACCACCAGCATCATTTCGCGCTGTGCCTGAGTTTGTTTGCGGCCTAAGGCCCCAAGCTCCCACGTTGTGCAGCTGGCCCGCGCGGAGGTGGACGAGAACCCTTTAGCTTCTAGGGGTGTGAAGGCTCTTGCAAGGGTGAGGCTGAAAGATGCTGAGACTGGGGTCCACCAGGTCTTCCATGAGTATGGTGTGAGCGCGCCGGTGCCGGTCAACTCGGTGAACTTAGGGCATGGTGCGCTGAAAGCTTTTCCCTACACCAAAATCAGTGATTGGGTTAAGTACTTGCTCAAAACGGGAAGGCTTCGCCAGCTATGTGGTGTTGACGGCGTCGATCACATGAAAGCATTCCTCGCGGAGTACTGGAAAAGGTACAAAGCCGTGCACCCAGACCATCAAGTTTTCGATCTAGCCGCGCAAGGAACCCTGCAGTTGGAAACCACCATCCCGGTCTATTCTCACACTGATGAGGGCCGGTCCTACAAACATCAAGCTTTGTGGGTCCTGTCGGTCCATGGGGCCTTGGGCAGAGGAACCCGAGCTTACATCCAAGCTGGAAAGAACAGAGCGGTGCTTCAAAGAAGTAGTATGGGCATGAACTTCACAGGGGCAACATGGAGCACACAATTTGTCTTTGCAACTATGCTACGTGCTGTTGCCAATGGGGTGCCGGGTGCTTTGGATACAATCACTCGCTTATTTGCAGAGGACATGCGCCTGCTTGCTTCTGAAGGTGTAACTGGCGATGATGGCTTACGCATTTGGTGCGTGCAAGTGGGCACAAAAGGGGACCTACCCGCATTGACTAAGCTGGCTGGGTTTAAACGCAGTTTCTCCCATGTAGCTCGGGCCGCAGTGTCCCGGCTGCCCTCCACAGGTGTTTGTTTTTACTGCTTGGCCGGCCAGGAAGAGTTGGACCACGTCACCAACACGAATGTCTCACGGTATCCTTGGGAGGATGTTTCAAAAAAACCAAAGTGGGCAGCAACCATGAACCATCCCCCTTGCTGGGACACTGCGCCTACCATGTTGAGCGGGGTACCGGTATGCCCTGGCCAGGAGGCGGCTTTCTTTAAAACAGATATCTGGCACAATCTGCAATTGGGCGTAGCCAAGCATTGGATTGCATCATCCTTTGTGGTGGCGTTGGAGAGCCTTGACAATCTTCCCGTAGTTGGTGTGAGGGCCAGGCCATCAATCGAGAAGAAAATGGAATGGCTTACTTCGGAGTTTGTGGCCTTTAGCAATGACCGACACCTCTCGCCTTACATGACCGAGATCTCACGCGAAACGCTTGGGTTCCCCTTCGGGTCAGCTTTCCCAGTTGGGCATTGGAGCAAAGGCTCGGTTTCAACCCACTTCATGATGTTCCTTGAGGACTTTTGCTCCAAGTATGTCACTGACCAATCGGACGATCCATGTCTCCAAGCCATCGTGCCTAAGCCTCTTTCTAGCAAGTTGTTGGGGAGGTTTGGTTTTTCTGGGTTACACGTCATACTTCCATCCCTTCAGTACCTAGGACACTGGCACCCGGGCAATCAATGCGGCGATCTCTTACCTCTACTCGGCCGGCTATTGGCTTCGCCCGTGGCAAGCTGAAAAGGTGGCCAACCTGTTGATACTTTTCCTGCAGTCCTTTCAAGCTTGTGCAAGGGTTTGCTTGGAGCGACGCTTGAATCGTTTTGCATTGACCCCGAAGATTCATTACATCCATCACACCGCCCACCGCTTGCTGATGCAAGCCAACTGTGGCTGGGCAATTTCGCCAATGGCGGAATCAGTACAGGTCCAGGAAGATTTCATTGGACGCCCCTCAAGAGTGTCCCGCCGTGTGAATGTCAGGATGATTCATCAACGAGTTTTGGCCCGATCGCTCATATGTGCCTTGCAGGCTTTAAAGGGGTCAGACACTGACACTAGAGGCCTGCATGGCCGTTAGAAACCTGTGGCATCATGAGCCACATCCAGCAACATCAGCCAGCGCAAGAAAAAGAGTCAGCGAATCGCCGCCCACCCTGCCGTTTTTCCCACTTAGGCTGGCGCATGCCATGCGATTGTCCAGAACCAGCTCGATGTCGCTTGAAACGGCTTTGGCTGCCGGCTGCAACCCACCCATAAAGAGCACCAAGGTCAACACATCTTGGATGTTTCTGGGAAACTGGTGGACCCCAACATGTCCCAAAAAATAGCCAAAACAGCATTTCTTGAAAGGGACGGATTCTATCAAAAGGGGCGTCTTTTGCAACTTTGAAACCCTCTGAAACAGAAAGGTGGACCAAACCGGCCCCAGGCAGCAATACTCATTTCAATTGGAAACTCGAACTCAAGAATCTGAAGCAGGGCGTTCAAGCAACAGGGACCCAGCGCACAGTGAGGCAATGCCCGCATTTCAGTTCCCTCCTTGCTCTTTGCACAGCACCAGCCAAACACCCCAGCAAAAGGCTGGCTGCACCCTGAAAGCAAACCCGGTGAAGTCGCTTTCTTCGGGCGCAGGGTTTCATTGCTCAGCTCTGCAAAGTCACCCCCCAACAGCAAACAACCCCACTTGGCTTTGACAACGCCTCGCCCCACACGTATACTCGCGGAATGCCCACGGGCCACATGGGCGTGGCGCCTTCTTTTTGAAATTGGACCCCCAAAATGGCTTCCTCAAAAGACACACCCACGTGAAGATATCTCACAAAGAGAGGCTATGGAGACAAGTGGCACCCACTGGAAGCTCAACTCGATCCCCTCCAAAAGTGCAGGACTCGGACGTGCAGGGCTCCTACTTCTCTCACCCCGATGGGCCAAGCGGCGCTGAATACACCCACCTCTAAAAACCCTTCACACCAGCCGAAGGTGGTTTTCAGACTTCAATTTGGGCCTGTTTCATGCCCCCCCCCCTCCCCCTTCCCCACCCCCCAACACAAACAGAAAACGCCGCAATTTTCAGGACCCAGCCCATGCCCCCTGGCCTCCCAGATTTCGAGTCGGGCTCGAGTCCGAGCCAAATGGCGGCGTGTCCTGCAGGCAGGCCTCCAAAAACCAAAGCTTTCCCGTTGGCTTGCAGCTGGTGGAGTGTCCTGGGTCTTCCCTGCAAGAACCACGGTCCAAAGTTGAAATTCCAGGTGATAGAACCAGTCCCTAGTAGGCCGTGGGCTCAAATCCAGGGAGCTTGGGGGACCTTCTTCAAATCAGTGGGCCAAATCGAAGCTCAAAACGTTCTTGTTGTTGAAGGTGAAAAGAAATAAAAGCAGGCTTTGACACCATTGAGGCCAGTCCCGAGAGACGCGGTTCCTCATTATTCTTGGCCCTTGGGCCCTTTGCAGCTGACCCTTTGAGTGCGGAGGGGTTGAACACGTTGAAGCGAGAAATCAACTCCTTGAAACCTCAACAGGTCAGTTGGGCGGCTGGTCATGACGAACTAAGGCCCGCTTTGGTGACATCTTGCGGCGCGAATACGCCGGAGTCTTGCCTGAAAACGTATCCCATATCTTCTGGGTTTCAATTTGCTGAATTAAGTCGTCTGAACACAACATATTCCACTAGTGATAGATTCACTTTGACATACATCATTTTCTTATGTGAACTTCATAGTGGCATCCCGCCAATTTCTGCGTGCGCAGATGAATAGATCCTGCGAGCTCCGTTGCTTGCAGCGGGCTAGCCATGTCTAACGCATCGCTTTTTTTTTCCTGGGAGGAAAGCATTAGCCAACCGAGACGGAGTGGCACAGTCCAATCAAACAGGTTTGATTAAAGGGTCTGCTAACCCCCAAGAATGGAGGTTTCTAGATTGTCTCTCCATAGTCTGCTACGCGTTTGCTCATGACCTGCTTGTTGTAGAGAGCAAACATCTTGCAACATCCTGCAAACAACATGTTTGTCGCTTCCAACAGCAGAATATATCGCCATAAAACGTCGTGCCTGATACGTGCCACGTGCATGTGCCATGATGTGCAATGGGGTGAGGCACAGCCACCCGCCACAAGCCCGAGCAAGGGTGAAAATCGTAACCTCGGGCGCCCCAGATCGATCCGGATCAGGGTAGCCACACTTTACCCTGGCCTGAGTTATCAACACATGTCCGCGCCTTTTGAATCGTGCGGCTCTGAATGTAATTGGGGTCCAGCCACTGTGATTGCTTTAGAGAGTGCAAAGACACAAGCCATGGTTGAAACTTCTTGCGCAGGCTGTGGTCTTGCCCTTGATAGAAACTATATTGACCATTGTCTGAAATCCCGAAAGCGTCCATGACCTGTCCTCCCTTACCCCAAGCAACCGGTTCTTTGAACATAGCTTGTATCTATCACCCAGTGATTCCATTTCCTATACAGTAGGCATCAAGGGAATCACCCTTGACAAACCAAGAAACAACTGTTTTGGATATGTACCTACTTTTGGAGGGTAACTGGGATCCACAAATGTCAGGCAACCTTTCCCTGGCAAATGTTCGCCTATTGAGAAGAACTCGGCCAGTCGGCAGCTACAGTCTAAACGCTGCAGTGTTCTGCGAAAATCCCACGGGTACCGGCGAAGTGAGCGAATCCACTCAGCAGAATTCCTGCCAGAGATATGTTTCTTTTGAGGGTACTCCTTTTTCGTCGTGTTGAAAGGGAAACCAAAAGGAACAAACACCATTTTGGGGGTCCCCTAAAAAAGGACCGCAGCGGCGGAGGTAGCGGAACATATGGGTGCTTGCTTTTGAGGGTACCCATTTTGGGGAAGCACGCCCCTGGAAAATCAATCGTGGGAGTTCCCCCAGAAGACACACAGAAAGTTGTCCACAACCCTCTGCCTGAAGCTGTGAAGGCCCCCCCAATTTATGGCATCCCTCAATCACCATGGGGCGTCTTTGGGTTGCCCTTCTGTGGTCCTGTGGTCCATTCTGGTACCTGAACATCAGGAATTCTCAGTCATGTCTCATGTTCGCGAAGCTCCAAGCAAACTGAGCAATGATGTCGGGGGGTGTTCAGGCCCCTGGATCATTCAGCCAGGGATGTGCGACTTGCGGGACTTGAGGAACCAAGTTGCCGAATTCTCAATCATGCTTCTCTGCTTTAACCCCTAGTATGCCTAGTATTGCTGAGATCGCCAAACCCGGAAAAAACAAGTCAACCTTTTGTTTTCGGAGTTGCCCGGGTTGCTGAGCTACAACCAATAGGCACCTCCAGAAAAGTCGCACGTTGGTGCTGAATCATGCATCTGGGCGATTGCACCGACTCCCTGAGAGAGGGACAACGGCGCACGGGAAAGGTGACGTTAGAGCCTGCGGAATACATTGATCATCAGTCTAATAGTCAAGATAGGCAGTGGGATTAGGGCGATGCTAGCAGACTAAGTGGCTCGAAAACTCAATCCCAGCATGCAAAGAAACTGCGCTTTGAATGTGTCATGTCATGAAAGTGTCGTGGATCCCATCTCGTTTTGGGTTGTGAGATTCAATATGTTACCCTCAAAGTGTTTCCGCCCGGCAAATTGAGGCAGTCGCTCATCAAGGGTCCCGTTTCAGTGGATTGGTCGGACAAGAGTAAGACTTCCTTGCCAGCATGCAGAAGCTCAAGGTCACAAAGAACAACAAAGATACAACTCCGGCAAAATGAAAACAACGGCTGGACGTGTTCCCCGACATCCGCCTACTTTGCCTCGGTGATCAGGCCCTGGCCGATGGTCTTGCCGCCCTGGTCGACTCGAAGGGCGAGACCATGGCAATTTAAGGGCTGTGGTTTCTCGTGGTTTACTAGGCATCAGCTGGGGATGGTTTCTCAAGCTACGGACACCCCACACTCGGGCAGTTTCCACTCTATTGCCCCTTTCAAAGGGTTCTGGGTGCCTACGGTTGGGGCACCCCAATTAGGGGCTGTCAATCCGCCCATGCCCGGTTTTGCCGAGCGGCCCAGTGTTGTTCAAAAGGACAATGCCAACAAACAAGAAGGAGACAAGGCATCACTGAGCGACTAAGCCAGGAACTATTGGAAATGCGACAATCGGTGAGGTTCCCCCCCCGATGTTTGTGGAACATTTAGTGTCCCCCCTCCCAAACTGACAATCGATTACAGCAAATGTTGCGAACTTCAACTTGGCATGTCAATCTTCCCTGCCTCCCGCATGGCAAAGCGCATGCCCTTCTCGATGGGGGTGGCCGCAATGAGCTCGCACTCGCAGGTCACGTCATCGCCTGGCATGGCCATCTGCACCTCGTTGCCATCAGAGCTGGTCATGCTGGTAATGGAGCCAGTGACGTCGCAAGTGCGGAAGTAGAAGACAGGCATGTAGCCCGGCATCACCGGGTTGGTGCGGCCGCCCTCATCCTTCTTGGCGAAGTAGATGTTGGCCTTGAACTTGGTGTGGGTCTTGGTGGCGCCAGGAGCGCAAATCACCTGACCGCGGAACACCGAATCCTTGTCAATGCCACGGCACAGCACGCCGACGGTGTAGCCGGCAGGACCCTCAGGCAGCTCGGTGTTGAACATCTTGATGCCTGTGATCACAGACTTCTGCGGCTTCTTGCCGCGGCCCAAAATCTCGACCTCGTCGCCCTTCTTCACGATACCCTGCTCCACTCTGCCAGTGCAAACTGTACCTCGGCCTGAGATCGAGAACACGTCTTCCACTGCCAGCAGGAAGGGCTTGTCAGTGTCGCGCTCCGGCGTGGGGATATAGTCATCCACGGTCTCCATCAGCTCCAGGATCTTGTCCACCCACTTGTTGTCACCTCAGGTGCAACAACCTCTGCGCATTGACAACTTCTGCAAGCGAACACGAGAAGGCCTGAGGCGTGAACCCTTCTTGGTCGCAGAGTCGGCCTTCATAGCCTCCAGCGCCTGCAAAGCAGATCCTGCAAACATTCACCCAGTGGAACTGCGCCCAAGGGTGAGGCTTGCCTATGGACACCTCAAGCAAAACCCACTATACAGCCATCGCTTCCCTGTACATTAGGCCACCTTTTAGCCCTATGGTTATGACGAATGGTTTATGTGAGGCGCTTAAGAGGCAGCTTGAGTGATTACAGGGCACTGATTGAAACCATCCATCATACTTCGGGCAGCCCGAACCCGAATTCGTGCTTACCGCAGGCATCGCTTACCCGGTGTGAACATGGAGACCTTTTGGCTCAAAGCCAGAAAGCCCGGCTTACAAAGGCGACAAAGAACGGGCGTGCAAGCTTGGTGTTGAACCTCAGATGCCCAGTGGCCATGGGACAAAAAGGACGTTGGTGTGGAACCCCTACCCAAAAAAAGGGAAAAAAGGGCGCCGCTGGGCAAAGGAACGAGTCAGCCATGGGCCCACGAGATCAGCTGCGCAACTCACCAAGTCCAGGTTTGAGGAATGAGGTCTGATTCCTTGCCTGACACGTCACGCCCGGGTGCGTGAAGTCCCAAACTCAACCCCTGGAAAGTCTATGGGCGGGTTGTACCCATTGGCCTTATTCACCCAGTATACCCATGAAAAAAAAAAAAAACAAGGGGCTTCTGGGCTTGCTTTAGGCTGTAACCCCTCCCCCCCCCAATAGGCCCGAGACCGCCCGTCTGCGTTGGATTGGGTTCAGAGTTTGTGTTTCTTGTTGATGGTTCCAAATGTTACGTTGCGCGACCAAACAATACATGATTGATGATGGTTCACATTGAGTAAAGCTAACCTTAAGCAGCAAAATACAGAATAGACCAAATCCAGACTTGGCGTTAGTCGGGAAATCGCAAGCGCCTCAGCTTTTTGCGGATAAACATGGGTCAACCGCGAACACGCGCGGGTCCTTGGATGAATGGCGTGTCATCGCCGTCGAAGCCATACTGGCTAAGCCTCCGGGATTCACCGCGAAAACGGGTTAACAGCTCTTCCAACACAAATCATAATGCTTGCGTCCGTCCGTGCGTGGGCGGGTGGAAGGGTGTGTGTGTGTGTGTCGGTGGGTGGGTGTGGGTGGGTGTGGGTGGATGGGTGTGGGTGGGTGTGGGTGGGTGTGGGTGGGTGTGTGTGTGTGCACATGTGTGTGTGTGTGTCTCTGTCTCTGTCTCTGTCTCTGTCTATGTCTCTGTCTCTGGTTCTGTTTCTGTCTCTCTCTGTGTCTCTCTCTCTCTCTCTCTCTGTCTCTTTCTCTGTCTGTGTCTGTTTGTCTCTCTATCTTCTCTCTATCTGTCTATTTGTCTCTGTTTGTCTCTGTCTGTATGTAGGCATGCAGGCATGTAGATATGTAGCTATGTAGCTATGTAGGTAGGTAGGTAGGTAGGTAGGTAGGTAGGTAGGTAGGTAGGTAGGTAGGTAGGTGGGTATGGGTTTTTGTTTGGTGGGGCGATCCTTTCTAGGAAACCACGAGGGAACCTAGAGCAAAGCAAGCACGTCTGCGTTCTTGCTACTTTAACACATACCAGCATGGATCGACCACCTGGCGTTCGCGCCATGTCCAAAACTCCTGGTCTCCCCTCTGAAGCGCGCCAGTTCCTTCTGAACGGGATCTTCATTGCCAAACTCATCAGCCCAGCTGAGCCCAGCGGTTGCACCGAGAACCCGATCGGCAAGGAAAAGCATCGTTCCCTGACAAAAAAAAGACAGCAATAATACAAGAATACAATAGAACCTCAGTTGCCCAGCCTAGACCCAGACAGAAACGGTCGAGCTTTCAAAACGTTTTGAACCTTACATGGGCCACAACGGAAGAACTAGAATATGGTCTCGCTTTGGTGAGCAAAGAAACCCTTCAACTTGGTCATGGAACAGGAGGCGCGACTCCCTGGCTTGGGGACCCAGGTGTCGCATCCTCTGCTGAAGAAAACCGGCTTGGAGTCCAATCGGGAGCCCAGAATCGGGGGTTTCTCAAAATAAAGGACCCCCTTTGCACCATGCCTGACCCAGTTGTCACATCGACTTTGCCATCTTTGGTCCGTATTTAATTCACCTGTTTGTTTGTTTTTTGTTAGGGGACCCCAAAATTGGCTTCACGTTGTTTTTTGTTTTATCGTCCTTCTAACGAACCCCGACTGACAAGGGTAGTCTCAAAACAAGACCAGCCATGTGAGCACCCCGCCCCGGATCTTAGGGCCAGTCATCTCACGTGTCTCCAGCTCCACGAGTTCCAGAAGCTCCTCGTCATCCATCATGTCCACCTTGCAACTGACTCAGCGCGCGGACAAAGATCATAACCTGAACAAAACGGTAATGTTGACACGGGTTCGTACACCCTGTTTATTTTAACATGGGGGAGTTCCCCTCCAAAAGTGGTGAATCTCCACTAAAACCAGGGACACCTCCCCAATACAGGAGTTTGTTGATCCGGCATCAAGATTAGGTGGTGTATCCCATAATTTATAGGCTTTGAGTTTAAACACATCGCAACTTCTGCAGGATTACGTCCATCCTCAGGTTTTACCCCCGTTTCAGACTCTCTCCCTGGTTTCCTGCAAATAAGTCTGGCTACGAAGGTCTTGATAGTTGCAACACCGATCCTTAGAGCAATCTGGCTTCCAGGAACACCACGTCTATGATCATTTGTGTATGTCAAAATAGGGATTCGGCCCACAAGAATGGTTTCTGGCGTTCCCTTTGGACCAAGATAACATAACAAAATGACCGATCCTCAACAAACACAGTGAAGCATTTTACCAAAGTCATCTCAGTCATCGCTGGGAGGTTGAAGGCCCCTTGAGCTACTAGCTTGACAGCCAACTCATAAACACGCATGTTGGGAGACTAAGGCGGGTTTTGGAAATTTCAAGGTAGGCCCTAAAAGGCGGGTCTAGAATGTTGCTGTTGGCGCCAGGCCCAATCAGTTGCTAATTGAAGATCCGCACGATCGATGTAGTTGTTGTTTGTTTGACGATGTTGCTGATAGCTAAACATAGTATGATTACATATGTGAAGAGTGCATAGGTGTTTATCTTTATTATTATATTACGCATGAGTTAACTTGTTGCATATGACATAATTCGCCTACCAACGTATACTATATGATGCTACCAACAATGTCAAACTATTTGCAGGTGTGTTGCGCGATCCACATATGTTGATAGAACTTTGCCACGAGCTAGTTTAGTACGATCAAGCGTGCTGCATACAACCGATCACTACTCACAGCAACATCATTTCTTAAACAACATTAACGTGCATATTTGTATTCATCGGGTCTTACTTCTATGTGTCCATCTGGATACTGGTTTATCTGAAAGTGAATCGTTGTGAAGTAGACATGATAATACCAATTTAACAATAATAATATAATACTGTACTGAACTCATGCTTACTTCAACGCTCACGCATGCTGCAAATATAAAGGGTTCGTAACGTGCATCATCAATTGCTTTGAGTAAGACAACTTGTGATTTACGAAAACCAATGTGCTCTAAAACTCACACCAACACATTAAAGTCAACCTTGAAGTAGAGAATATGGTGTGTTGATGTTTGAGGAAAGTCGGGAATCCCCGTTTTGCGTTTTTGGCCGAAAACCAAAAGGCAAACCCCGATTTTGGCGGGGGGGTGCTCAAGAAAGCAGGTTCACCTTCAAGAAACCACGAACACAACTTGAGGGAGCTTCTTGTCTCTTCTCGGAAACCGCGCAGTTCACACGGGATCGCTTCAGGGAACCGTGCCTTTAACATGCCCCCTCGCACGTGCATGACAAACAAGGCATCCTAACCCATTGCATCGACATACATGTACGGAAAAGTTGGCACTCCCAAGTTGATAGTCCGGAAACACATGTTGGGCGAGTGCCCGCACACGTAGGACTTTTGTTTGATTCGCTCCTTTGATTGTTTCATATGAGCTTGTCCAATGAGCACGACCCGAAAAGGGCACCCTCAGTCAGTACCCGGACCCTCAGGCAAACATAAACGCAACGACAAGCACAAGCACACATAAACGTAAACGCAAACACACACACACACACCTACACTCACACACACACACAAACACACACACACACACACACACACACACACACACACACACACACACACACACACACACACACACACACACACACACACACACACACACACACACACACACACACACACACACACACACACACACACACACACACACACACACACACACACACACACACACACACACACACACACACACACACACACACACACACACACACACACACACACACACACACGCCTACACACACCTATCCTCACGCGGCAAACCCGTCCGCACCCTTGGTCCCAACTGGTGGGAAGGCCCTGCCTTGTTCATGAAGCACACTAGCTTCGGCACGCCCACCTGGTCACCAAGCTTCGTCCGCGACAAAGTGAGGCCGCGGAGTTTGTGCAACCAGCTGCTTTTTGGCGCAGCACTGGGGTGTTTGTGGAAATGACGAAGCAATCGTTGGGGGTGGAATGGCCATGTCCCTCAAAAAAAACCAACAGGCTTAGAAAACTAGGACGCCTGCAGCAAATGTACTATGTGCCACTTCTCCACGTATCGGCTCTTGTAACAAATGCGCCCTGGTGCGGAGTATGTGATCACCTTTACATATCACCCAAGGGAAACTCAATGAACCGTCGCCTCATGCTACCACCCAACAAGCCATGCACAATGAAAGCACTCTTGACCCCAACAACTGGGGTAACCCAACATCAGACCCCTCAACAAATGCGAGTTTCCATGTTTGCTAGTGGATTCTCAGGGGGTTGGACTGGTTGTTGCTTTCTGAAACGCGCTTCGGCTTGCTCCATTTATGTCAACAACAGGGAGCAATGCATCGCGTCAACCCACCCCAGGATGCTTATGACGGGGTTGCCTACTTGCACATCTAGACCAGGTGGGATTTCCTATGTGGGTTGGCTAACCAACATGCAATCCGAACTCGCTAGAACGGTCTTCCCACAAACTACAAAGTCCAGACAAAAGCTACTCCCCCAAAATAGTTGCTTTGCCCTGGGTGTCCGTTCAGACCAACCAAAACAGGCTGCCCTCAAGAAAGACACTCTCATGAACCCCGGGTGGGGGAGTCTAGGAGACAAGCGGACGCGGAAACGGGAACCGGTGGCCTGCTTGGACAGCAGGATGTGCTCCCGCGTCTGCGCCATGGGGCCATCGGGGGAAGAAATCACCAGGATGCCGCCGTCCATCTGGCAGGCTCCTGAGGCTTTCTGGCAGATGGATCTGCAAACTCATCTAGGTCCTCCAGTAGAGAGGTTCGATTTTTTGTCTGTAGACTATTTTAGTAGGGGAATCCTCCCCCAAAATATAATGGGAGACCCTTTGGACCTCAGAACTCGGGGATTTGTGTCCAACCACTTTTCGGGGTTCCCGGGTTCCCCACTAAAAGTCATAGGAATACTTCCCCCAAAAAAATAAGAATCGATCCCCAGCAAGGCAATCCATTGTGAGCTCCCTCCGGGTCATCGTCCTTTAAAACAAGAATTGGTTTCCGTTGACCTTTGATTGCATTGACCGACCTTTCTTTGCCGATGGTCTGTTTTCAGCAACTCGAGGCTCCTGACCTGGGGTCCCATGGTGCGAATGGCAAAAGAAAAACCAACGATCTAAAAAAGTGGAACAGCTTTGCTGCTCTAGTCCAGGGAAATCTCACGGACATCTCACGGAAACGATACGTTTTTAGAATGAGCGAATGTCCTATAGTTTTGATGTGTCCTAAGCCCCCTCGTGGCATGTCCGGGCATGATACGACCATCATGGGGTCTCAAAAGTGCTCAGAGGGCAAAGGGCAAAGTTGAACGCCCGCCCTCAAAACTGGGACGACGGAACAGAAAGCTCTTTGTGAGACCATCTTTTCTTGTCAAGGCCCTTTGATTTTTAGGGAGCTCGTGTTTAGCCCGCTTGCCCAAAAAAACAGATACATCTTGGTGAATCAAAAGGGTGTCTTTTGTTTGGCCTCGAAGATCGAACATGGCTTCGGTTTTTCTTCTGATAACCCTCCAAACAGGTCGACCAAAGAAATGGGAGCCTTCATGGGTGGGGTCACACAGAACTCA